ATACTTCAACTCAACAAAATAGCTCAGTATACTAATATGTAAATATACAAACTGTTCATTTTTCATTATATACTGGATATAGCGGTTGATCAAAACATGTCACATCTTTTAAAAAAGTTTTCTTGTATCAAAACCTAGATTTTATGCCTTTATTGTGTACTTTATAATGATAAATAGATAAAAACCAAGGAGAAACATATGTGTAATCAATAACAACAATAAATGTGCTCTTTTGAGTTTAAATATCAGAGACCAAACAGGGAGAACAGAGACAATCCTTGAACAGAGAGAGGGGTTATGAGTGAGCCATCTCCCAGACCGTGGACATCGTGTTGTTTGGTCAAAACACACAGAACTATTTTTTCCTCTAATCTCACCCTGCTCCACTCCAGTAACAATCGAAGCAAAGTTGTCATCCAACAGGATCATGTCTGCAGCGTTCTTGGCAGCATCCGACCCAGCGATCCCCATGGCGACACCAATATCAGCCTTCTTAAGAGCCGGAGAGTCGTTCACACCATCACCTGTCACAGCAACGATAGAGCCCTAGGGATGACATTCGAAAACATTCAACATAAAATGTACACACACGCAGTATATGAATACAAATCTCTCCTTGATACTTTATAAATTATGTGTATAGGAAACTTGCTTTGGATCCATATCATTTTTAAATGATCAAATAACTCCAATCACTAAATCTTTGCAGGATTTAGAGGGCACAGATTATAAACTGTGTGTATTAAATGTCTGTGTGTATTTACCAGACGTTGACAACTCTCCACAATAATCAGTTTCTGCTGGGGGGATGTTCTCGCAAACACCATCTCAGGATGGTTCCGTAGTGCATCATCCAACTCTTCACTGCTCATGTCTTTCAGCTGACCACCACTGATCACACAGGCACGGGCGTCCCTGCACGCAGACAACAGAGTTACATACACTAAATAGACAAAGACATGCATGCATTCACACACAATAGCGCATGTGAATAAACATTATACTGCGATGGACAGACAGTCAGTGATGGGAGTACCTCTTGTTGACTTGTTCGACAGGTATGCGCTTCCTCTGGGCAATATCTTCCACTGTTTCACTGCCTTCTGAGATGATACCAACATTAGCTGCTATGGCCCTGGCTGTGATTGGATGGTCCCCAGTCACCATGACAACCTGAAGTTCCAAGATATAAACAAAAGTTATGAGACAGGAAAATGAACATAAAAGTTCATGTGTTTTTGGGCACTGTGAACACACCCTGATACCAGCAGTACGACATTTCATCACTGCATCGGGTACGGTGGCTCTGGGGGGGTCAATCATTGAGATGAGACCAGCGAAGCACAGTCCGGATGTGGTGAAATTCATCTCATCAGGGTCAAATCGATAGCCACGAGGAAACTCTTTCTCATTCAGATAGATGTGACAGAAACCTGGGGGGGAGGAAAAGCAAATTCTTTTTTTCACATCAATATGCTGTAAGCAAAAGGGAACTGACAGTTTGGAAAGATATTTTCAATACAGCAAGCCACATGATGGGTGAGTTTAGGGGTCATAAGAAATACTCTCTAACCCAGTACTCTCTCTCCCAGTCCTCCCAGGTCCATATAAGCTGTCTGAAAAGCTTCGCTCCACTGCTCATCCAGAGGCAACTCCTGGCCTTTTATCAAAATGGTGGAGCAGCGCTCCAAGATACGTTCTGGTGCTCCTTTCATCACCAACAGGTAGCGTAGGTCCAGAGGATCCTCGAGTTCATGGATG